AGTCACCGTATACTATCCAACTTTTTTCTTCACAATAAAAAATCTCATTGGCGTAAAGAAAGTGCATTCATGATAATCATGTCTATTTGTAATTTAATGCTAAAAACTGTTTTGTTTTCTAATCTTTGGCTTACTTTACCAAGGCCTTCCAAAGAGTCTAATTCTCACAGTCCCTGGAGTTATCTGTGGTTTAAAACAAGCCCCTGGAGCTTGTTTGAAAAGTTCAGGTCTACTCCTCTGTTTGGATTTATAGATTAATGCAACGGATGTTTATTTGTGCTCGGCAAGCAATCTAGTATAGTATTGTAAACTTACAAGTTTATGTTGATGACATAATCACGGAAAGCTCCCCAGCACTTATTTAGCAAATTGTCAATATCTTTCCATACACTATTCCTTTGTTTTTTTGTGAGTTGACAATATCTAAGTTGGATAAACTTCGCAACAAGCACTTGTGGAATTAAAAAAAAAAAAAAGGTGGTAAATTGAATATAATAATTGCTTGAAAAAAAATTGAAGGGGATGGGACCAGAATGCCTCCACACAATTTTGGCTCCTCCACCTCCCACCCCTTCATGCGCAGAAAAATTGGGAGAATTTGAGGGGTAGAGAAATTTTTATACTAATTAACTATCCTTAAGTAATGGCTTTATTTATCTATTTTAAGTTTATAAAAGTTCAACATTCTATTTCCCTCCCCTCCCTTTGTGAACTCAACAAGGTGTCCTCCCATTTCTTCCCCTCCTTTAAAACCAAACAATGCATTAGGGTAGAGTAGATTTCAAGTTTCATTCTTGAATTGGAAAGCCCAATTCATTAATCCCGATAATGAGCAAGATTGTAAACATTGCAAAAGAAAAGAAAGTCCTATGGAAAAAGAATCGATTTACCTGCAATGCATATGTGATAAACCAAGAAAGATGAAATATACCATCTTTTAGGCCCATCATATATAGTCCTTCTTTAATCTTCTGTTCCTGAAATATTACATCAATAAATTGAGAGATAAAAGCAAACAAGAGATGATGGCTCTTCATAACTGACAAATTATTAGAAATAATATTAAAAATTAAAAATTAAAGGGCCTTAGAATTCTTCGTGGAAATCTAGTGAAAGAGGATTAGCCCAAGTCTTATAATAATAAAGAGTATTCTAGGCATATTCTTATCCACTGTAGGATATTTTAACACACATTTCTTATGCCTAGAAGTGGACTTCTAGTGCATTAAATTTGCAAGACTGGACATCTGCTATTAGCACAAACTAAGATAGGATGGGTCATTATATCATATTATGAAAAAACAGACTAGGCCTAACGCATTTCCAAAATATAGCTCTAGGGAAGGATTTTCCAAATCTTGTGGGACATTTAACAAAGAAAATGTGTAAACCAAAAAGCAATACTAACAAAAGAATCAAACCTTTTCGAACACAGAATAACTGATTAGGCGAGAAATTGGATAGAGAAACCCCAATAAGTACCTACACATAAAAGTCTTCATTAAAAATAATAGCTTGTTTGAGATATAATCTAATAATATTCTAAACACGATATAAAAGTTTCCAAGACAAGCTTACAATATTCCCATTACTTTCTTTATGATTGACTGAAACTGGTCATCAGTATACTCTCGCGTGGGAAATGGAACAATTCGTATGTGAGCAGGGTTAAACTGAGTCCATGGATTTTTCATAGAGAAATTAGAGTTATTGAAGCCTGGAAGAGGAAGTTCCAGACTTTCAGCATTCAGATTTAAGTCAGACTGCTGCGCTGTTAATATTATGAACGAATCAACCATTTGCTGGAGCTACAGAACCAGAACATATAAATGCATTAATAATGAACAAAGTATATATACCAAATTCACACATAGCAGCGACGAAGATGTAAATTTATAACATAGGAAAGCAAGGAAGGACAGAAGAAAGCAAGACTCCCCCATTCCCACCGGTTGAATCACTACAAAACTTATGGATAGTTTTTCCTATATTTGAATTGCCTAACTACAACTACTTAAATTTTTTTTTTAATCAGCACTATTTAACTATAAATATGGGTTTAGGTCTAACTCAACGCTCCAAAATCATCTTCTAAGGTGAAGGTTGGCCCCATTTGTATAATCTATTTTAGTTATATTTCTATAAAGATCTCCAACAAACACCCCTGAAGTCAATGANGATCGTGGGTTTGGGTCCCACCGTGATCGCCACCCACTCTCCCTCCAATATCCTCCTCGCACCGTCGCTGGTTCCCGTTTACGGAAGCCTGTTGTTGGTTCCCGTTTACGGAAGCTTGACTTCCACCTGATTGTTCGTCGTTGTTGTGAGCCCGCGCCCTATCATCCTCATTATTTCTTGCAAATCTTGGCGTATTGCAGCATAATTTTGGCGTCTTGCAGCATAATCTTGGCATATTGCTGCATAATCTGGTCACAGCTCCCCTGTCTACACCTTCATTTTATCAACTGCAATTTCCTTCACCCTCACACGATTCCGGCAGCGTCTCGATCCGGCAGGTTCTTGACTACTTCTTAATTCTGGCACCCCTCTCCTTAGGAAAATCGGCAGTGCTCCTATTGAAACGGCAGCGCTCTGGATGATCGGGCCGCTTTTCGAAACGGCAGGTCGGACCAATTTGTTAGGTTCCTGGGTTTGGAACCTAACAACACACCCTCTCGATGTCGATAAAAGAGATGAAACCCAAACAATAACACCACTACAACAGATAATAGAGATGAAAGAATGGATTCTCTTATTCACAGTAGTAGAATTGTCACTTTCCAGAGAATGGGGTTGGGAGCATAACCTCTCTCTACAGGCTAAACCTGACTTTACAAAATAATACTCGATAATCCTCTACAGAGTTACAAGAGCTCTATTTATATCAGCTCTGACCCGCTACCTTTTTTACAACCGACACCCCCACACCCTTAACTCCTAAACCCACCTATTCTATCATCCTATATCCTAACAGTTACAACCAAGATTTTCAAACTAGAGAGTAACATAAACTCGAGGAGTTTCAAGTTACATGAACTCGTGGGAGCTTCGAGTTTACGTAAACTTGAATAAACTCGTCGAAGCTTCAAGTTTACGTAAACTCGTCGAAGCTTCAAGTTTACGTAAACTCATGGGAGCTTTGAGTTCACTTCATATAAAAGATATTAAAATACCTATAAATGACATAATAATTTCATATTATATGATGCTATAAATAATTTTTATATTTTTTACTGAATTATTATAATTATTAGTTTAACATATTATATATTTTTAAATATTTTTTCTAATATCATTATTTTAATATAAATCTAATTCACAAAAAGAATTGTTGGACTTAAATGGAGGCCTCAACACTTCAACATAGTAAGAGGGAGGCCAAATAATCCAACATAGTAAGAGTGGATTAAAAATGAAAGAGCTAAAACCCAAATATGTTATGTCTTCGGCCCTAAAACTATAGCAGAGAAAGGAAATGGGAGGAGTGGGATGGCAAAGGGTGGAGGAGAACCAAAAAGCACAAAACGGAGTGGAGTGGTGCAAAGACACCAAGAGAGATTTGTTGGTCCAACAGGCAAATGTAACATCAACACCAAAAACAGCCAGATTCTTGAAAGAGAGAACCAATGAACCACGAAATTGTCCCCTAGGTATGTTTTGCATATATGTTGAACTAGAAACAAACAAAGCCAACGTCACTTTTGGCTAATTTCTAATGTCCAACTGAGCTCGCTAAAAATCGCCTCTATACTCACGCTTTTACACAAGCTTGTTTGAGTTTATATGACCCTACTAAAAACCGATTCTACATGCAAGTTGACAGGCTTTAAAGGGGTGGAAACATAAACACGTCCGAGTTTACGACTTGACTTGCGATTTTGATAACCATGTTCACAACACAAATTAACACATCAATTTGCATCAAGTCAATAAACCAATAACTTAAAAGTACTACATTTTCTAGAAGCAATAAATCAATCCCTAAGATTCATTACAATTAGGGAGATCCCTAAAAAATATTCTGCACGAAAAATAATTAGAATGTGAAAACGTATATAGAAATATACAAGCTTAAGGTTGTGTTCGGATCAGGAATTTTATAATTTCAGAGAATTTGAATTGCTTTGATTTAAATTTCTCACATTTCTAAATATTGTTTGGAAAAATCAGTTCAAATTTTAAATTTATCTTGGGGAGTGTAATTTAATTTCTACTATATCCAAAAAACTCAAATATACATTTAAAATTGAAATTTTAATATCAAACATTAGACCATTTTAAATATTTAACATAAAATAAGAGAAGAAAAAAATATGAAATATTTTTGTAGAATTTGATATTCTAGAATCTTAAATACTAAAATATCCTTGACCATTTCCAACATATATTTGAGTTAACAGAAGACAAAAAGGAGGAAGAACCAGGTCCCTCAATATGCAAACCTTGACCATTTGCAATAAAAAATTTATCTTGTCCCTCAGATGACCAAGTTGATATATTTTGTGACTCCACACAAACATAAAAAATAGCACAAAAATTGGAAATCCATGGAGAATTGGCACCACCTTGAGAAGATGTGTTGGTAAGCATACTGTTGGGAGTGACAGCATGAGTATATGGATTTAAATTAGGATTGACCTACCCGTTAGGAGTTCTTTTGAGGAGTAAACTGGACAGGTGGCACTACAGAAGGATCATAGAAAATAAGAGACTCGTGTGGTTGATAAGAGGCATCAATCCTATAGAAGCAAATGAATATGACCATACTTCAAACAAATTTGGCATTGAAAATTGGAAAAGCTTCCAGTACAGCCTCAACCACACCCTCAACAGCCATTGATGGTGCTGCCACAGCCTCTCTGCTCTAAACACCACCACCTTCGCCACATTTGTCACCAGCACGAGCATGGTCATTAGTAGGACTAGATCCAAGATTAAGGGAGTTGGTTCGGGCTACTGTGTTGAAAACACCGTCCCGACCCACCTTTTTTGGCTAGGTTGGCAGGCTAGCCCGCTTGCCTTGACCCTAACGATGAGCACATGCTTTCTTCTGAAGTTGAAGGTACTCATGAATCATGTGCCAAACCTTATAAAAGTGTATCGAACCAACAATGAAAGAGAGACTTGACTTCAATAACGTTGGCTGAAGCCAAGTAAGAAACCTTTGATCCTGAACTTCCCAAGCTTCATATGGAGGACTTACACAATCAACATCGTGATCTCGATCAAAGACATACACAGAGGAATAGTAGAATTAACAATGAATCACTGAAGGCGATGCGATTTAATAATGAGCTCAGCAAGGGAAGAGGGAAACTAAAGAGAGGAAGCATTGGGAGTAGTGGCAACCATGTACAATAAAAGATATTAAAGATCAGAACTACAATGGAAGCCTCCATATAGCATCTTAGAGAAAAGAGAAACTGATATAATATTTTATTATTTATATGATGTTTAAAGCTGAATGCAAAGGAGCATTTATAGTAGCTAGCCTTGACAGCAAAAAGAATGAAAAACCCAAAAACAGATTCACCAAAAAGGTCAGCTGGAAATAACAAACTAAAGAGGGAAACTAGCAACAAAAACACATGAAAAGGGAAAAGAAAACCTTTTATATTCTTTACTCTAATATATCGTAATATCATGTAAAAAATAATTCACAAAATATACAGCAATCTTCACCATTACAAGGACCTGACCAAATCTTCATTGGTCATGGGTAAGCTCTGACCATCTCTATCACTAGTTCATCTAATATCCAGTCACCGTATACTATCCAACTTTTTTCTTCACAATAAAAAATCTCATTGGCGTAAAGAAAGTGCATTCATGATAATCATGTCTATTTGTAATTTAATGCTAAAAACTGTTTTGTTTTCTAATCTTTGGCTTACTTTACCAAGGCCTTCCAAAGAGTCTAATTCTCACAGTCCCTGGAGTTATCTGTGGTTTAAAACAAGCCCCTGGAGCTTGTTTGAAAAGTTCAGGACTACTCCTCTGTTTGGATTTATAGATTAATGCAACGGATGTTTATTTGTGCTCGGCAAGCAATCAAGTATAGTATTGTAAACTTACAAGTTTATGTTGATGACATAATCACGGAAAGCTCCCCAGCACTTATTTAGCAAATTGTCAATATCTTTCCATACACTATTCCTTTGTTTTTTTGTGAGTTGACAATATCTAAGTTGGATAAACTTCGCAACAAGCACTTGTGGAATTAAAAAAAAAAAAAAGGTGGTAAATTGAATATAATAATTGCTTGAAAAAAAATTGAAGGGGATGGGACCAGAATGCCTCCACACAATTTTGGCTCCTCCACCTCCCACCCCTTCATGCGCAGAAAAATTGGGAGAATTTGAGGGGTAGAGAAATTTTTATACTAATTAACTATCCTTAAGTAATGGCTTTATTTATCTATTTTAAGTTTATAAAAGTTCAACATTCTATTTCCCTCCCCTCCCTTTGTGAACTCAACAAGGTGTCCTCCCATTTCTTCCCCTCCTTTAAAACCAAACAATGCATTAGGGTAGAGTAGATTTCAAGTTTCATTCTTGAATTGGAAAGCCCAATTCATTAATCCCGATAATGAGCAAGATTGTAAACATTGCAAAAGAAAAGAAAGTCCTATGGAAAAAGAATCGATTTACCTGCAATGCATATGTGATAAACCAAGAAAGATGAAATATACCATCTTTTAGGCCCATCATATATAGTCCTTCTTTAATCTTCTGTTCCTGAAATATTACATCAATAAATTGAGAGATAAAAGCAAACAAGAGATGATGGCTCTTCATAACTGACAAATTATTAGAAATAATATTAAAAATTAAAAATTAAAGGGCCTTAGAATTCTTCGTGGAAATCTAGTGAAAGAGGATTAGCCCAAGTCTTATAATAATAAAGAGTATTCTAGGCATATTCTTATCCACTGTAGGATATTTTAACACACATTTCTTATGCCTAGAAGTGGACTTCTAGTGCATTAAATTTGCAAGACTGGACATCTGCTATTAGCACAAACTAAGATAGGATGGGTCATTATATCATATTATGAAAAAACAGACTAGGCCTAACGCATTTCCAAAATATAGCTCTAGGGAAGGATTTTCCAAATCTTGTGGGACATTTAACAAAGAAAATGTGTAAACCAAAAAGCAATACTAACAAAAGAATCAAACCTTTTCGAACACAGAATAACTGATTAGGCGAGAAATTGGATAGAGAAACCCCAATAAGTACCTACACATAAAAGTCTTCATTAAAAATAATAGCTTGTTTGAGATATAATCTAATAATATTCTAAACACGATATAAAAGTTTCCAAGACAAGCTTACAATATTCCCATTACTTTCTTTATGATTGACTGAAACTGGTCATCAGTATACTCTCGCGTGGGAAATGGAACAATTCGTATGTGAGCAGGGTTAAACTGAGTCCATGGATTTTTCATAGAGAAATTAGAGTTATTGAAGCCTGGAAGAGGAAGTTCCAGACTTTCAGCATTCAGATTTAAGTCAGACTGCTGCGCTGTTAATATTATGAACGAATCAACCATTTGCTGGAGCTACAGAACCAGAACATATAAATGCATTAATAATGAACAAAGTATATATACCAAATTCACACATAGCAGCGACGAAGATGTAAATTTATAACATAGGAAAGCAAGGAAGGACAGAAGAAAGCAAGACTCCCCCATTCCCACCGGTTGAATCACTACAAAACTTATGGATAGTTTTTCCTATATTTGAATTGCCTAACTACAACTACTTAAATTTTTTTTTTAATCAGCACTATTTAACTATAAATATGGGTTTAGGTCTAACTCAACGCTCCAAAATCATCTTCTAAGGTGAAGGTTGGCCCCATTTGTATAATCTATTTTAGTTATATTTCTATAAAGATCTCCAACAAACACCCCTGAAGTCAATGACTAGACATTTCGAACGTGCAACTAGACATTTTGAACGTGTTACTAGACACTTTGAACTTGCAGCTAGACATTAGTGGATGATAGACAGCAACCTGATAGTAACTAGCACAATAGGCCAATAACAATCACTAGGATATATTATAATACCATGTTAGAATTAGACAAAACTTAATCCTACAAAACCAGCTAGTAAAACGAGGGATAACCCTTGCTTATACACTTTATTTAATCATATTTGTAGATGTGAGATCTCCAACACCGAGTAATTTTATGTTACAGTGACTCATAGGCGTAATTCCCCTCTAGGAGTTTCCTATTCCTTCTACAACACATTTTAGTAATTGGGTTCCTCATCACAACACAAGCAATATTACACTTTCCAAGTTCCAACTACCCCAATATATAGAGATAAAAAATAGGCAGGAAAGAGACAAGAACAAATAAGAAATTGAATGAGAATAAAGCAACATACAGTCAAAAACCCACTGATGCTGTATTGCATTGTCGGTATAGCACTAACACCAAGTTCCAAGTCATTAAGAAAAGGACCATTGGTATCCATTATTGTTGTAACATCAGGAAAACCAGAGAAAGCCCATGTATGATTGAGGCGTATGCTGTAATCAAATGATTGAGGGCCTTGTTCATAAAACACGATTGCTCCTTTAATTTTTGGAGTTGAACAATTCCTAAATGGGTTGAAGAGAAACAAAGAAAAGTAATCAGTTAACCATCCATATGAATAAATGCATCATTTTCATGTGTCATGTCACTGACTAATAAAATTGTAGTAAAGACTAAAGCTAAAAAGTTTGTTATAATCTAAGGTAGTCATATGAATAATTTCAATTTTCAATAGAAATATGTACATACGAGAAAAAGAAAGCAACTATAATAGGGGAGAAAAGATGGCGGAAAAAATTGACTCATTTTCCTTCTACGTGAAAAATATATAACAAGAGATATGCATCATGATCACTCAACATAGACATCCATGTATTCATTCAACATAGTAAAATAGAAGCAATCACAAATTAGTACACTAAACTAAAAATCCAAATTTCAACTAATAGCAGAAGCTTTATTTATCTGATAGGAGAGATTATTTACAAGAATAAAGCACACAAGAATCCAAACTGATGGTAACCCAAAATACTAATAACAAAATAAATAATCTATGAAGCAACTTAAATCTCAATATCGAAGAACTAAAGTATGTAGATAAGGTAGAGAACATGTAGAAGAACAATTGTACAGCAGCAAAATAGAGAAATTGGGAAAAAGAGTCAGAAGAGAGTAAGTATTATTGTGCAGCTATCCAAGGAGACTGTCTCCTTACAACTGAGTTAAATCAACAAGAATAAAACCTAAATTGCTATCCACAATTGCAGCATTCCTCCAAATGCATATAAATCAGATACTACCCAGATTATTAATATATTAATTGCCCTTATAATAGCCAGCCTGTCATTTCTTTCTCCTTGCATACACCTGCCACTCCATTTCCTGGGCTGGACCTCACTCAGCTATGCCTACACCACTAACAAGATATCTCAGAAATTATCCTACATTTGCTTGTTAGTATCCTTCATCCCTTCTAGGTATGTAACAAGAATTATTTTTTTTACCTTGTACCCACTGCAGCATATAAAAAAAATAACATATCACTCCAGCAGGATTTATTGCCAAAATAGAAAAGGAATTTACCTTGCTTGATTGCAGGTGCCATAAGCATCAGAGCGGATGTAGGTTTCCAACTCTACCTCATCTTTGTATATTCTATTAACATACTGCATATAGGAATCAAATTTTAGTAAGAACAGAGATTATACTTACCTGCTTAATGTAAAAATTCAGAAAGAAAGAAAAAATAGGAAGAGAATTTTGTTTGATGATGCATTTAGTTGCAAGAAGATACCCCAAAAATAAAGGCGAATGACTTAATTTACCAAGTTAAATTAGCAGCAAAGAAATAAAGCTACGACTTAATTCAAAATTTAGTACGACAATACTTCTGTATAAAGGCATTGGAAGTTTGTAAATTACTTCTTTCATTAAAATAACCATCACTGAAATTTTTTTAAAACTTTCATCCTTCCTAAAAAGGAAAAACGTTGAAAGTGCTGGTTTGATGCTCTGAGAAGCTTTTCCAAGAAAATAGCAGTCACTAGTTAACATTTTGTATACACTAGTTAACTTGTTTTAAGATTAGTAATTTTACAATAAGATACAAGGATGCACATTTTTTTAAACTTTGGAATTTGATGCGTACCAGATAAGTTAACAAAAATTTATAAAGAATTTTTTATAGGTCCAACATAGTAGTGAAGATTGAGACATTGATCATTTCTCATTAAATCATAACTACTCCAATTGCTCTCACAACATGAGGAATGATATGGCTTCACAAGAGCGATAGAAGATCCATGCATCAACCACCAATTTCTCCAAGGCTCAAAGGCAGTGCCAGCCACTACCAATTTCTCCAATTTTCATATCATGAATCATCTTCATCACTGAAATTTCAAAACTGTTCTGTTTTCTTTCTCCCATGTTCAAACATGGAGGAAAACTTCATATGCCCATGGAAATGTCTTGCCCCTTCCTTGGAACAACCATCATTGATTCCAAAGCCAACTGTCATTATCCCAGTTACCTACACTGCGTAGGAAAGGCTATCATTTGGCTATTACAATTCCTGAAGATCTTTACAAAGAAGGTTTACCACAATGTAAACGGATACTTACTCATTTTAACTCAAACTACATTATTTGAATTCCCAAAGAACCTAATGCTAATGAGATTGGTTTGCTTTAGCTAATTTCAAATACAAGATTATGTCTAATTTACTTACTGATAGAATGGCGGGATCTAAATCCTTTAATTTCCCTACTCATACTCATTGTGTTGATGACATCATATTTTTTGCAGAGCTACGATGAAAAACCTAACAAATATTAGCAAGGTGTTGGAGGATGATGGTTCAGCTTCTAATCAGATGGTTAAGTGTGCTAAGTCAGATGGCTCAGTTTCTACCTTCTAAGACTTTTGTTCTTTGGAGACTTTTACATAGTACAATTCCAACAGATGATCTTCTCAGGAAATGTGGCATTATTGTCCTCATTGCTATAATTCTTGTGAAACTGCAAAAACAGTGCCTTTTTTCAGTGTACTTTTGCAATTAATATAGGGAACTGACTTGGGAGCCTCGCTGAGCAGCGTATGTCCACTACTTCTGTCATTACCTTGTAACAGATTAAAGGGAGTGATGTTGTGAATACTGTCATGTTTTAGCTGACATCTGGAATAGTACAAATAGGATCAAGTTTGATAATTTTATCATTCCATATCAGCATATTAAAAGCAGGATATTTTCTGCAGTTAATGGAAGTATGAACTCTCTTATGTCTGAAATAAAAGTTTCAAAAGCTTTTGCTGTTACTTGCACGTCAAGAATACAGAAAATATCACTCAAGTTAATGGATATCCTCCAATTTATGGATGGGCTAACTGCAACACAGATGGCACCTTCTTAAAGCAAGGGAATTTATCAGCTTGCGGTGGTATTCGGAGGAACTCTAACGTTGAGAATATGGGATGCTTTTCTAGTCCACTTTAGGTTGGCAATACTTTTGAAGTTGTCGGATTGAAATAAACTCTTTACTCGTTGTACATTTTTTCAATGATTATATGTTAGTTCCTTGTAGATTTCCATAACTTTTCACTTAACTTCTCACATATTTCTTGAGTATAGTGTCAATACCCTTCTTTAAAATAAAAAACAAAATCAAGCCAGAATTCTTAAGGTGATCCGTGAGTTTCTTTGTGTCACAAAGACTATCAAATACCACCACTAACAGTCGAAACCAAAATAGGCAATTTACCAAGATATAGGCTACAATATCATATCATATTTTGCCTTAAAACCAATTGACATTAAGCAAAGTTACCAATAAATATATAAGTTGCACTCCAAAAATTGAGGAAAGCAATTTGAGACTTCCCAACAAAGAACAAAGGCTAAAAAAATCCAAAACAGGGGTTTAAGTGTGGAATCATGCATGACACAAGGAGAAACTGCATTCAAGCACTCAACCACAGCAAAGTTTAAGCTTGGAAGAGGGTACATTTCATCAAATGGAGGAATCAAAGCAAAATACTTCCCCTTCGTATCAGGGATAAATTAAGCCTAGAAAATCAGAAATTACGCAGTGAATGAATGGGTACCTTCAAGAGTGGAAACTTTATTGACACTACGTCTATCAACAGCTTCGTCTCATCAGTATCTGGCGCAAAAGCTAAATACTCTCCCTTTTCCAACAACGATTGCAAAACTAGTTGAAAGTTGGGTGATATGTCTTTGCCCACTTCCACAAACATATCTTTTTGAATGTGCCTGCTCCATTTCCACATAAACGTTACTCCTCACAAAATACTAAATGTGAAAAATATTTAAAATTTCCCTCCACATAGACCAGTTTCGGAAAGTCATTTCCATTCACTTTTACTTTATAAATAAACGAATATTCAAAATGCGTATTAGAAAAACAAATTAAAACCTTCCACGGTCCTCCATACAACACGGGACAGAGAAATAACTAAAACACACTCACACGGTAACACTGAGCAATGAACAAAAACACTCACGGTTGAGCAAGATGAATTTGTGTATCCTCTTTTGTCCTTACAGCTACTAATAGCAACAATACAATCGTAGGGAGCAAAATCTGCCATGGATAGAGCGATATGGATAAGAATTCCGGTATTAACCAGATTGAAATGCACTTGGAAGAAAAACCGACAAAAACACACACACTAAATCCTAAACACATCTTTAAAACAATATGTAAATGAATATACACACACACACACACCNCTCTTCTCTTGAAATAGTAATGAATTTCATTCCTATTAACATACACTTTCAAAATTATTACTAAGTTTTTGTCATTTATCCACAAATTCACATTAATCAATAATATTTTTTATTGAACATTGTAACTAATTCAATGCAATATATTTCAAATTTTGTAATCGTCATATGCTTATTAAGCATAGATATAATACTAAGTTATTATTATATCTGACAAGTGTCTCTTTTAAAGATAATTATATTTAAGGACTAACTGATTGTACTTTAGGCTCTGTTCACTTCAATGAATTTTATTGTTCAAGTAAATTTGGAGAGACGGATTTGCGGAATAATTCGTGTTCACTTTCATGAATTTGGAAAGAAGGAAGAGTGAAGATTTGTGGGATACATTGCATTTTTTTTTATCTATGGTGAAGGGAAGAGATTTGCGTTGATTATTTATGAAAAACTCATTTTACCCTTCCATTTATAAGGTACATGATAAATTGATTGGTGGTAGACCTAGGATGAACATGGTGATGCAGAGAACCCAAGGAAGAGTGCTCTCTTCGTTATTTTTTACTTTATAATTTATCATCAATTTATTCCATTTTTATTGGGGAATTAAAATATATTAAATTGAAAATAATTTTTTAATTTAAAATGGTTTGTTTTTTAATTACTTTATTCGGTTAAAATATTTCAAATATGAGTATTGAATAAAATAATATTTTATTCTTAAAAAAATATTTTAAATATAATTATTTAATTTTACTTAAATACAATTTTTTTATTGTAGAAAATAATTTTAATTTTTTTCCTCTTTATAATATTTTTTATCAATAAATATATTATTAATAAATATAATTTTATATTATTTTTATCACAAAGGATATTTTTGTAATTTTTAATTTCTACCAATTAAACAATTTTTTTTATCTGTCACATCAATCAAATTCTACCGTAATCCTCACAAACTTTACTTCAACTTCACTTTCACTTTGCTTCCAAATCCACTTAAATAAATAAATAAAAATTTACCCTCAAATTCATTCACTCACTCTCCCCAAATCATCTCCTCCAAGTGAACAAAGTCTTAGAATCAAGCAAGTGGCATTGTTAGGATTTTGAAAAGAGTTTTTTTTTCAAAAGTAGTATGTCACATACTACTTAAAAATAATTTATATGTATAATAATGTAATGAAAATAATTTTTATTTTCATAATAAATATGAATGAATATTTTATCATAATTATTAACTGATAAAAATAAATAAGTATATAAGTACAGATTAATAAATATACAAGATGATGTACCCCTCAATAACTAGCTAGTTATAAACCCCTCTAAGTTTATATAAAAAAGAACATATGAAATAAAAATATAAGAAAATAAATTTAGAAAAAACTACCTTATTGTCTTACAAACTCATCTTCCCTTAAACTATTGTAAAGCTCTTAAATTTTTTTTATTATCCTCACGAATTAACTATTTATATTTGTCCTTTTAAGATATTGAGAGCTCAGACTACACGGGTTAGGTTTAGTATGTTATTCCAAATCATTCTTTTTAAATATCATTATTGTGTTGCAAAAATTGAAGAGAAATACTAGCATAAGGTTGTTGCACTCAAGAGGAGTGATAGTAGAAAAATAGTCTATCAACTAATAATGATATTTGATATTTGATTAATTTGTTGATTAGACATAATTTCAAATCATAATAAAAATATATATTGTGTTTCCTCCCACAAACACTTACTTTTTTTCTCAACCATTGATTCATTTCTTTATCATTTGTACTTTGTTTACTTTTAGTTTGATAGTTTTTAACATAATTAAACAACAAAACATATGGCTCTGAACTTTTTTAAAAGACTATAAAACACAGTTCAATATTTTATTTTTGTGGTTTTACATTGATAACGTTGATAAGAGCAAATCAATGTATTTTAAGTGCATTAATGCAATATAAAGTAGGTTATAATAAACGAAATTACGATACATCAAAACAAATAAATTAATATACTAAATTAAGAAACGTTAGTTAGCACAATTATATCAATTATGAATCACATCATTCACAAATTAATATATTTGTGACCTATTGTTAGGGAAGATAAACATATACTTCCAAAGAGTAATCAAATCATTATGGTACATTTTTGCAAAAATAAATAAATAAAAATCATTATGCAAATGAGTAAATTATGTTTGGAAAGTACAAGTTCTTATTAAAGAAGACGTGTTTAAATACTTTGAAGAAGTTAGGTTTGATATAATCAATTTTCATTTTATTATTCAATGTACACAGCTTAGATTTGATTTTTTTTTTCATAATATTATTAAAATTGTATTAGCAAGCATGATTATTGTATATTTTCTTATATTGAATTTGTGCATGACAAAGATTACTTGTAATTTTTATAATTAAAGTCAAACAGTTTTATATTTGAGCTAGAGTTGTGTATGACAAACATAGTTTATGATTATTTTTTTTAAATCAAAATCATTCATGATAAATGCCATTTTTATTGTTCTATAACTAAATTGATATTATGTGTCTCAACTATAATTTCTCTTGTATTATATTTGAAACGATGTTATGCATTACAGGCATGATTTTTTATATATTTTTTAACAAAAGTTATGTTTACATACACAACATTTGTTTAAAAAGTAGTCTAAATGACATTTGTTATGCATGACTCTAACTCATACATAATATAATAAAAATTATATTTATTATACACGATTTTAGTTCAAACATAAAGAAATTGTCCATGCACGATTTAAGTTAAAAAAAATTACTAAGTCAATTTTATTATGCACAAATTTAGTGTTAAAAAAATTATAATCCAAGCTTACTATATACCAAAAGAAACATGAGAAAATTAATCAAATCAAGATCGTGTGGGAAAGAAAACTTTTATAGTAAAAGCAATTATAAGTTTTTTATGCTAAAAATAACTTCTTCAGTAAAATTTTAATTTTTATTTTTTTTTAATTTTTAATTTTTAAATTTTTTTTTTTTTTTTTTTTTTTAATTTTTTTTTTTTTTGTTTTTTTTGTTTATTTTTATTGTTTTTTTTTTTTTTTTTTTTTAATTTTTTTATTTTTTTTTTTTTTTTTTTTTTTTTTTTTTTTTTTTTTTGATCAAATTAAAATGTTACTTACAAAAGATACTCTAATATTAAAGTTATTAAATTTTTTTATCATTTAAGCAATTAATGTGTATTAAATACATTCACCTATTTTATTTATAGTTTTCTGAATGATATTTGAATTAACAATTGTATCTGTAAAAATTTGGTCAAACTTGTATTTATAATTTTTCAGATTATATTTGAATTAACTGTGATTTAATTAGGACTCAGTTATTAATAATTACATTTTATTCTAAACTAATTAATGTTAGTGATATGATTTGAGATCACTAGTTCATAATTGGTTGTCTAGCCTTACGGTAGAGTATTTATTGAACATAATTTACTCATTTATTTAATAGAATTAAAATTTGTCAAGTAATTTACTGAAAAATTACATCGCAATATACAGATTTTTTTTTTTGTTAAGGATACTATTTTGGTGCAGTATGTAATAAAATGAATTTAGCAAAGTAAACAATGTGAAAGTTCATCCTAAAAAGAAATTAGTAGAAAGGTTATAGAAATTAAGGTGAAGAAAGCAATAAAGAACATAGCTTGTTCTTTTTGTAAGATAGGTATTTTAGTTACTTTTTCTTTACTTTTTTCGGAGTGGTAATAATCATTCCTATACAAGAATCATTCGTTGCACCTATGAATGAACTTAGTAGACTCTAATACGATAACTTAGAAAGAATAAGCTCTTAACTAAAAAAAATAGATGATTAAAATTGCTTCAATTTCAACAAATGAAACCATAACTTTTATTCATAAACAGTGACAATATCTTCTTGTATGATCTAGATTTCTATAATCAGTTTTTACATACATTTATTGTTGAAAGTAAAATATATTTTTGACACTTAAATAATTTGATATTGATATTATAAATTGTCGGTATAATTTTTCAAAACAAAATTTAATAATTTGTTGACACATCACTAAAAGAATGTAAAAGTATATAATGCTAGTGAGAAAAAGACGATTAAATATGCTTTTTGTTTATCAGTTATAATGCAAAAGTAGAAGTAAAATTAGTTTTGTTTGAAACTTTGATTTCATTTGGTTCCTTAATTTTAGAAATCAATCAAAAAATTTAATGCCATTCAAAGTGAAAGACTAAATCCATTCATTAATTTCTAAATTTAAAAAATCAAACAATTAAAATTTCGAGTAAAAATAATTCCAATTTTACATTATAATTGAGAAGAAAAAAAAACAGATTTTATCCAAAAAAAAAATATGTAAACTTTTTTATACAATAACCTAACAGTTTCTTTAACACATAATTAGTAAACAAGTATAACTTTTAAGTTTTGAAAATAATAAACTATATTGGGATGACAAATGTTTAACTTATGTGCACTCATTATATCAAATGATATTATTTATTCCTCCTTTTGGTAGTGTTAATAAACCACACCACTATAATGATTAAGAAAACCGGTATAACTTAAACTCGAAAGCAACCTTTCTTCCTTAAATATAATGAAATAATAGTTTAAAAATGTATAATATTATTAAATTAAGATCGATCATTATATTATAAGTGAAAGTATAATTTCTTTCAACTAAACATATTTTTAAAAATTGCATGCAGCCTTTTGTTATTTAAAACAATCATGAGAATAAAAACACACATCTATGTTAATTAAAATTCAAATATCTGGTACTCAATAATGAGAAAGAATATAAAAACAACTTGACAGCGATGATTTGTATCTCTATTTTTGTTCTTACCAAACTTTGGACATGAGAAAAACATCTCTCGTGGAAAATAAAGTTGTGTGGGGCGGCTACAAAATGATAGGGTGGGGGTTGTGGCGTAAAGCACACGCTCAATTGATGTGTGTTAAGTCAAATTTGGCTTTCTTCCGAAGACCAGTGCGAGAAATATTGGTATTATGGCGATAAATACATAAATGAGAACACCTTTGAGATAATAATTATCTCTTCTCGTTCTGATTACAGATGCAAATACACAGTTTATTGTACCAAAGCTAAAACGTTAATTAAAATTTTCAATCTTGTTTAACTTTTTTAACACTCACACTTCAATCTAATCTCACTTTTTAACTGTAAGTCTGAATCACCTTGCTTTCTCTCCTTATTCTCCTTTGCTTGACGTAGATGTGTTTTTTCAACCCTCATACAACAAGGTGCTATTATTACAAATCTGGCGATCCCAAAAAAAAAGAGGCAAATTCAAAAGTTATGTATAAGAATAAGAATATGTTTACTAATTAAAAATTTTCAAAGACATTATTAATTTATTATTATTAAAATCTTTTAATTTGGTAAATGATGAATACTCTTCATTTTTTGTTTACAAAAATAAAAATAAAAATCGAAGAGGCCCGAGGCAGAGTAAAACAAGGGTATCGCTTCCTGCACCCCATATTTTCCGAGCATGCACCCCATAGGGTGATGAAATGATGTTCACATTCTTAATGAAAACTTAAATTTTATTCCCATCTCTCACTTTCCTTCTAGCAGTGGTGCACCTCCAATTCACCTCCCTTCGTCGGTAAGTTTGTTCCAAGAGACATTGTTTAATTACACAGATTGAATAAGTTTGTGCTCGAAAAAGTTTTGTTTATGCATGTTCAATAACGGGTACTAAATCCAAAATTCATTGTGTTTTCTTAATACATTTGTACAATCATAAATATATTACTTTTAAAAATATATTTTGAATTACACAATTTTAATATATATATATATATATATATTTAAATTAAAAGTTAAATTATCGGAAGTTGATTCGGAAATATATTTGCAAGTTCCAAAATTAAACTAGAAATCTATTTAGGGTTCCGAAATTAAACTTCTAGACATCTATTTGTCAGATTCTACTATTAAACAGAAACAATGGTATAAGAAAATAGCGCCTAATAAACTCAAGGTAATCAATTAATGAACACGTTCTTGCATAATTCTACTCTTATTCTGTACAGAATATGCCGCATAAAATCAAACCTTATCTAACTCTGATTGCATATACATGAAGGAGATGTTAACTGATACATATCTGACTTTAAATGAAAATATTCGGCTAATTCTATATTGTATCATCGATGAAAAACCACCGTAAATATATTATTTTCTCTGACCTCTAAAAACCCATGTAATCTTGCAAAAAAAGCCATGGGAGCATTCTCTTGGTAGACCTGCTTGAGCACTTCAGACCAATACGCTGTTCTTTTGTTTGATACAGGGCTCAGCTTTCAGGTGCTTTGTCTTTAAGCCATTTTTCGATTAGAAATTCAAATGTCCAATCATTCCTCTGGCTGAAACATTGTGTACGTTGAACTGGTCTCTGTCTTGGTAACCTGCACATCAAACCAAGTGTTCTTGGTAACGTGAGTTTACAAGAATGTTACAAGCAATTCTTATCTTACCATATACAATCAATTGTTTCGTGTAACTGACGATTTCGAATTGAACAACTGTCCCCTCACTAATCAGGAAACTGCTTCCTCTTTAAAGTGTTAAATGATAATTAGGGAATTCTGGGCAATCAAATCTCCAGGAAGTAATAGAAGGCTAGAAATAATTGCCATGTATATAAAATTACAACTTCGGCCTCTGTAATTCAAATTTCATCCATAGGGACCTTTTGCCTCCACATTGTGTCAACACGAAGAGAAAGGGACCTTTTGGTGTTAAGGCTCAGAAGAAGTGAGAGAAGCACTCGTAATAATGTTCAGCTTTACAATCATCATATTCAAGAGATAACAAATTAAATTTGTTGATACCACCTTTCTGGCTTAATAGCATAGGAAATCAGTTCGTCTTAAACACTTAATACCAGACATAAAAGAGATTGTTATAGATGATAATTGAAATCATATTTTACTGAGAACAAATTTTAATTGCTACGCTCACACAAACTCGGGCAGATTATTTTTGTTTTAAATACTGTTTTCTTCGGAATTTGATGAATTATTTGTTTTGAATATCAGTTGACAATCTATTATAAAATTACGCTCTCTACTATTTTAGCTCTGTTAAATAACTTCTCATGTAATTTCAATAAAGTAAAACACTTGGTCATTACACCAACCTCATCTGTACGAGAAAGGCCGGCAGGAAGTACGGGAACAAGAGATGTCCAGAGAACAGGATCTACCATTGGATCAACAGTATTGTAAGCTGTCAAAAGTGGTGCTGACAAGAATGGCGTCAAAGGGTAGATATTTCTTTGAAGAGGCATTGTCCCACTCATTCCCATTGCAATGTCAAGCCGATCACTGCCTCCATCATGATTTGATGGTTTCTCAACTGCCTTTCCATGATCCAATTTGTTGACTGTATTTTTGTTTTCATTCTCATCGTTATCAATACTATTTTCCTGTCTCTTTGACGCTTTCTCCTGCAAGCTCTTGTAAGCAGCAGATTGAGAAAGAATCCTTAAGGCAGAGACTGAAGAACTTCTTTGCTTTTTCTCATTGTGTGGCCTTCCTAACTGTGGCATCTGATAAGGTTCTGTAGGTTGAACTTTCTGTTCCAATTGCTTTAGCTCACTGCAAATATCTCCAGCAGAACCAAGCTTTTTTTCTTCCGATGATAATCTTGTCCCAGAGTCAGAATGTCGAGTCTTATTAGATCCCCACCATTTGATGTGACTTGTTAAATCAATCTTTCTTTCTATGCAGAAACCACTTACATATTCACTTTCTGCTGCTGAATCATCCCCTGCACCTTNACTTACTTTTTTTCTCAACCATTGATTCATTTCTTTATCATTTGTACTTTGTTTACTTTTAGTTTGATAGTTTTTAACATAATTAAACAACAAAACATATGGCTCTGAACTTTTTTAAAAGACTATAAAACACAGTTCAATATTTTATTTTTGTGGTTTTACATTGATAACGTTGATACGAGCAAATCAATGTATTTTAAGTGCATTAATGCAATATAAAGTAGGTTATAAAAAACGAAATTACGATACATCAAAACAAATAAATTAATATACTAAATTAAGAAACGTTAGTTAGCACAATTATATCAATTATGAATCACATCATTCACAAATTAATATATTTGTGACCGATTGTTAGGGAAGATAAACATATACTTCCAAAGAGTAATCAAATCATTATGGTACATTTTTGCAAAAATAAATAAATAAAAATCATTATGCAAATGAGTAAATTATGTTTGGAAAGTACAAGTTCTTATTAAAGAAGACGTGTTTAAATACTTTGAAGAAGTTAGGTTTGATATAATCAATTTTCATTTTATTATTCAATGTACACAGCTTAGATTTGATTTTTTTTTTCATAATATTATTAAAATTGTATTAGCAAGCATGATTATTGTACATTTTCTTATATTGAATTTGTGCATGACAAAGATTACTTGTAATTTTTATAATTAAAGTCAAACAGTTTTATATTTGAGCTAGAGTTGTGTATGACAAACATAGTTTATGATTATTTTTTTTAAATCAAAATCATTCATGATAAATGCCATTTTTATTGTTCTATAACTAAATTGATATTACGTGTCTCAACTATAATTTCTCTTGTATTATATTTGAAACGATGTTATGCATGACAGGCATGATTTTTTATATATTTTTTAACAAAAGTTATGTTTACATACACAACATTTGTTTAAAAAGTAGTCTAAATGACATTTGTTATGCATGACTCTAACTCATACATAATATAATAAAAATTATATTTATTATACACGATTTTAGTTCAAACATAAAGAAATTGTCCATGCACGATTTAAGTTAAAAAAAATTACTAAGTCAATTTTATTATGCACAAATTTAGTGTTAAAAAAATTATAATCCAAGCTTACTATATACCAAAAGAAACATGAGAAAATTAATCAAATCAAGATCGTGTGGGAAAGAAAACTTTTATAGTAAAAGCAATTATAAGTTTTTTATGCTAAAAATAACTTCTTCAGAAAAACAGAAAGTTTAATTGTATGTAAATCTTAAACTCTAAAATATACTTTTTTTTTTTTCTATGAAATTTTATTTGTTTCGGTTATTGAGGTTAATGTTAACTGTTTATTATTACGTGTATTTTAAATATTTGAATGTTTATTTTAGTTATCTTTTATTTTAGATGTCTATTCGGATCAAATTAAAATGTTACTTACAAAAGATACTCTAATATTAAAGTTATTAAATTTTTTTATCATTTAAGCAATTAATGTGTATTAAATACAATCACCTATTGTATTTATAGTTTTCAGAATGATATTTGAATTAACAATTGTATCGGTAAAAATTTGGTCAAACTTGTATTTATAATTTTTCAGATTATATTTGAATTAACTGTGATCTAATTAGGACTCAGTTATTAATAATTACATTTTATTCTAAACTAATTAATGTTAGTGATATGATTTGAGATCACTAGTTCATGATTGGTTGTCTAGCCTTACGGTAGAGTATTTATTGAACATAATTTACTCATTTATTTAATAGAATTAAAATTTGTCAAGTAATTTACTGAAAAATTACATCGCAATATACAGATTTTTTTGTTTGTTAAGGATACTATTTTGGTGCAGTATGTAATAAAATGAATTTAGCAAAGTAAACAATGTGAAAGTTCATCCTAAAAAGAAATTAGTAGAAAGGTTATAGAAATTAAGGTGAAGAAAGCAATAAAGAACATAGCTTGTTCTTTTTGTAAGATAGGTATTGTAGTTACTTTTTCTTTACTTTTTTCGGAGTGGTAATAATCATTCCTATACAATAATCATTCGTTGCACCTATGAATGAACTTAGTAGACTCTAATACGATAACTTAGAAAGAATAAGCTCTTAACTAAAAAAAATAGATGATTAAAATTGCTTCAATTTCAACAAATGAAACCATAACTTTTATTCATAAACAGTGACAATATCTTCTTGTATGATCTAGATTTCTATAATCAGTTTTTACATACATTTATTGTTGAAAGTAAAATATATTTTTGACACTTAAATAATTTGATATTGATATTATAAATTGTCGGTATAATTTTTCAAAACAAAATTTAATAATTTGTTGACACATCACTAAAAGAATGTAAAAGTATATAATGCTAGTGAGAAAAAGACGATTAAATATGCTTTTTGTTTATCAGTTATAATGCAAAAGTAGAAGTAAAATTAGTTTTGTTTGAAACTTTGATTTCATTTGGTTCCTTAATTTTAGAAATCAATCAAAAAATTTAATGCCATTCAAAGTGAAAGACTAAATCCATTCATTAATTTCTAAATTTAAAAAATCAAACAATTAAAATTTCGAGTAAAAATAATTCCAATTTTACATTATAATTGAGAAGAAAAAAAAACAGATTTTATCCAAAAAAAAAATATGTAAACTTTTTTATACAATAACCTAACAGTTTCTTTAACACATAATTAGTAAACAAGTATAACTTTTAAGTTTTGAAAATAATAAACTATATTGGGATGACAAATGTTTAACTTATGTGCACTCATTATATCAAATGATATTATTTATTCCTCCTTTTGGTAGTGTTAATAAACCACACCACTATAATGATTAAGAAAACCGGTATAACTTAAACTCGAAAGCAACCTTTCTTCCTTAAATATAATGAAATAATAGTTTAAAAATGTATAATATTATTAAATTAAGATCGATCATTATATTATAAGTGAAAGTATAATTTCATTCAACTAAACATATTTTTAAAAATTGCATGCAGCCTTTTGTTATTTAAAACAATCATGAGAATAAAAACACACATCTATGTTAATTAAAATTCAAATATCTGGTACTCAATAATGAGAAAGAATATAAAAACAACTTGACAGCGATGATTTGTATCTCTATTTTTGTTCTTACCAAACTTTGGACATGAGAAAAACATCTCTCGTGGAAAATAAAGTTGTGTGGGGCGGCTACAAAATGATAGGGTGGGGGTTGTGGCGTAAAGCACACGCTCAATTGATGTGTGTTAAGTCAAATTTGGCTTTCTTCCGAAGACCAGTGCGAGAAATATTGGTATTATGGCGATAAATACATAAATGAGAACACCTTTGAGATAATAATTATCTCTTCTCGTTCTGATTACAGATGCAAATACACAGTTTATTGTACCAAAGCTAAAACGTTAATTAAAATTTTCAATCTTGTTTAACTTTTTTAACACTCACACTTCAATCTAATCTCACTTTTTAACTGTAAGTCTGAATCACCTTGCTTTCTCTCCTTATTCTCCTTTGCTTGACGTAGATGTGTTTTTCAACCCTCATACAACAAGGTGCTATTATTACAAATCTGGCGATCCCAAAAAAAAAGAGGCAAATTCAAAAGTTATGTATAAGAATAAGAATATGTTTACTAATTAAAAATTTTCAAAGACATTATTAATTTATTATGATTAAAATCTTTTAATTTGGTAAATGATGAATACTCTTCATTTTTTGTTTACAAAAATAAAAATAAAAATCGAAGAGGCCCGAGGCAGAGTAAAACAAGGGCATCGCTTCCTGCACCCCATATTTTCCGAGCATGCACCCCATAGGGTGATGAAATGATGTTCACATTCTTAATGAAAACTTAAATTTTATTCCCATCTCTCACTTTCCTTCTAGCAGTGGTGCACCTCCAATTCACCTCCCTTCGTCGGTAAGTTTGTTCCAAGAGACATTGTTTAATTACACAGATTGAATAAGTTTGTGCTCGAAAAAGTTTTGTTTATGCATGTTCAATAACGGGTACTAAATCCAAAATTCATTGTGTTTTCTTAATACATTTGTACAATCATAAATATATTACTTTTAAAAATATATTTTGAATTACACAATTTTAATATATATATATATATATATATATATATATATATATATATATATATATAAATTAAAAGTTAAATTATCGGAAGTTGATTCGGAAATATATTTGCAAGTTCCAAAATTAAACTAGAAATCTATTTAGGGTTCCGAAATTAAACTTCTAGACATCTATTTGTCAGATTCTACTATTAAACAGAAACAATGGTATAAGAAAATAGCGCCTAATAAACTCAAGGTAATCAATTAATGAACACGTTCTTGCATAATTCTACTCTTATTCTGTACAGAATATGCCGCATAAAATCAAACCTTATCTAACTCTGATTGCATATACATGAAGGAGATGTTAACTGATACATATCTGACTTTAAATGAAAATATTCGGCTAATTCTATATTGTATCATCGATGAAAAACCACCGTAAATATATTATTTTCTCTGACCTCTAAAAACCCATGTAATCTTGCAAAAAAAGCCATGGGAGCATTCTCTTGGTAGACCTGCTTGAGCACTTCAGACCAATACGCTGTTCTTTTGTTTGATACAGGGCTCAGCTTTCAGGTGCTTTGTCTTTAAGCCATTTTTCGATTAGAAATTCAAATGTCCAATCATTCCTCTGGCTGAAACATTGTGTACGTTGAACTGGTCTCTGTCTTGGTAACCTGCACATCAAACCAAGTGTTCTTGGTAACGTGAGTTTACAAGAATGTTACAAGCAATTCTTATCTTACCATATACAATCAATTGTTTCGTGTAACTGACGATTTCGAATTGAACAACTGTCCCCTCACTAATCAGGAAACTGCTTCCTCTTTAAAGTGTTAAATGATAATTAGGGAATTCTGGGTAATCAAATCTCCAGGAAGTAATAGAAGGCTAGAAATAATTGCCATGTATATAAAATTACAACTTCGGCCTCTGTAATTCAAATTTCATCCATAGGGACCTTTTGCCTCCACATTGTGTCAACACGAAGAGAAAGGGACCTTTTGGTGTTAAGGCTCAGAAGAAGTGAGAGAAGCACTCGTAATAATGTTCAGCTTTACAATCATCATATTCAAGAGATAACAAATTAAATTTGTTGATACCACCTTTCTGGCTTAATAGCATAGGAAATCAGTTCGTCTTAAACACTTAATACCAGACATAAAAGAGATTGTTATAGATGATAATTGAAATCATATTTTACTGAGAACAAATTTTAATTGCTACGCTCACACAAACTCGGGCAGATTATTTTTGTTTTAAATACTGTTTTCTTCGGAATTTGATGAATTATTTGTTTTGAATATCAGTTGACAATCTATTATAAAATTACGCTCTCTACTATTTTAGCTCTGTTAAATAACTTCTCATGTAATTTCAATAAAGTAAAACACTTGGTCATTACACCAACCTCATCTGTACGAGAAAGGCCGGCAGGAAGTACGGGAACAAGAGATGTCCAGAGAACAGGATCTACCATTGGATCAACAGTATTGTAAGCTGTCAAAAGTGGTGCTGACAAGAATGGCGTCAAAGGGTAGATATTTCTTTGAAGAGGCATTGTCCCACTCATTCCCATTGCAATGTCAAGCCGATCACTGCCTCCATCATGATTTGATGGTTTCTCAACTGCCTTTCCATGATCCAATTTGTTGACTGTATTTTTGTTTTCATTCTCATCGTTATCAATACTATTTTCCTGTCTCTTTGACGCTTTCTCCTGCAAGCTCTTGTAAGCAGCAGATTGAGAAAGAATCCTTAAGGCAGAGACTGAAGAACTTCTTTGCTTTTTCTCATTGTGTGGCCTTCCTAACTGTGGCATCTGATAAGGTTCTGTAGGTTGAACTTTCTGTTCCAATTGCTTTAGCTCACTGCAAATATCTCCAGCAGAACCAAGCTTTTTTTCTTCCGATGATAATCTTGTCCCAGAGTCAGAATGTCGAGTCTTATTAGATCCCCACCATTTGATGTGACTTGTTAAATCAATCTTTCTTTCTATGCAGAAACCACTTACATATTCACTTTCTGCTGCTGAATCATCCCCTGCACCTTTAACGTTGTAAACCAGTGAGATGATATTACCAACCAGAAAAACAGGTGAACATAAGTTGAAAATATTATTATTTTTCCTATAGCCACATGTGGAGCAGAAATGAACATGGTTCATATAACTCTGTTCGCTAGAAGATTAACTGAACTTTAAATTTGATTATAACATACCATAATGCATGCTATTGAAGTAATCAGATCCAGATATGCGGCCATATGACGACTCCCACCGACTAATTTTGTTAGCACCACATGCAAGATGAACGTTTAAGTTAGCGGTCAAATCCACATCAGATTTTATACACTGGATGGATGACAGCTATACCAGATCATAAAAATCTGTAGCTGTGAGCAAAGCAGAGAAGAACTAGCTCCACATATATAGCTAGCCAAACCCAAGGAGATGTGGATATAGATAAGAAGTTAATTTCCAGACAGCTTCAGTAAAAGAGAGTTGATAGATTAACACACCTGGAGAGTCCACGATATTTTGATAGTCCTCTAGAAAAACCACTGCTCTTCCTGCAGAAAGCATCACGTGTAAGAAGCAGCACGGATACATGATATAAAACATTTTTTAAGTATACACACACCGCCGTAAAGATGCAAGGTACTCTTCTCTCGACACATTCTGCATTTCTTCAAGATCTCTTGTATAATCAGTCACCTGCAGCACACACATCATAAGTGATACAAAAAACTACATTCACCAGAGAGAATAACAAACATCCTTTTCCAATCAAAGGGCACCGGATCTATAGTCTCCACGGTCAAAACTTACTCACCAACAAAACAGTTCAATCTTATGCTACGTAATAACTTGGGCAAAGAAGGCATTGTAGATATTGTACTAATAGTCCATAGTTATCATACATTATTAATAGGACACAATTTTCATTATCTTACTGGAAAGTTAATGAGAGTCCCTGGACCCCAGTATTTGAGAGCAGCAAGATCATAAGCTCTAGCAGCTGCTTCCTCGTCATCATATGCCCCTATCCAAAATCCATCAGCAACTAACATCATTACCTTACAAAAGGGTGTAGAGCGAGAAATTTCAATAATGATGATAAGCAAAAGAATAAGACCATATTTGGATAAACTTCTACTTATACATTTAGAGAAGAGAGCAAGATAAGAAAGTTACTAAATTAAACTCATCCCACACACAAGCTCTTTCATCTAATTTCCCCAAGAGGTGTGCATAAGTTGATTTCAACATACAGAATAAGTTTAATCCATTTTGTCATTTCTTCTCCTACACGTTTCTTTATTTCGAAGTTTATCCAAACATGATCTAATAAATGCGAACTGAACTGAGCACCGCATTGCAAACTCACCCAAGTAAACTGGCCCCACCACGAACGAACCATTGTCCAACGAACCAATTCCGAAACAACAGGGGAAACAAAAACAGGTAAGCTATTTCAGTCTGACACAAGTCCAAACCCGAAACGAATAACAAACCAAACCAAACCAAACCTTGTTTTCCCTTCTTATTCTGATTCTGATTCCACGTACTCTTATCCCAAAGATGAGCTTCGTAACGACCAGTCCACCTATGCCTAGTCAATCAATCCACAAAATTCCGTCAGCAACAATCAAGATATATATTCATTTCATTAGTCGATCGGCTTAACTTCCAAGATAAAACTCCATTCATTTCCTCCAAACCGAACCTTACTAAGTAACTACCTGGTGACGCCGCGGTATATAGAGCTACGTTTTCCAGCTGCGCAGGGAGGCATTTTGCTGATTCGCTCTTTGGCGGTGCAACCTCTCTCCTTCTTCGCTTTCTTCAATCCTCGGTAGAGCAAGAGCTGATCAGTTGGCACCGCCGCTTCCGACGTCTCCGCAGACTTTCCGGGATCGGAGGAAGACGAAGCCATGATTGGAGAAAACCCTAACCCTAATCTGAGAGAGAGAAGTTCGTACGTTCGTTTGAGTGATAGCGATTGGAATTTGGGAATGGAAATGAAGTGAAATGGAAGTGGGAGTGAGTGAGGGGGAAAACTACAAAGGAAGAAGGAGGAATGAGTGATGAGTGGAGTTAGTTACTGAAATGCCCTTTCCAGGTTTTGAAATGACCAATGTGTAAAGTGGTACTGTGAGGCGATGTAACGGCTAGGACCCCCTGAGGGTACTCCTGTCATTTCATGCCGATTTTGATTAGTATGACCATTGTGCATGTTAGGTGCCACTTGTTGTCTGCTCCTCTTTCTATTTTCTAAACTCACCATCTTACTTACTTACTTTCCACCAATAATTTTTTTAATTATTTTTTATCTTTAATAAAAAATAGAAAATGAAATTAGACCAATTCTTTTGTGGTAGGTTTTATTGTTATTAAAGTAAGTATTTAGTCGCATAAATAAATTAATCTCATGAAATCTGTTTGTAAGAAAAAATAATTATAGTTAATTCCTTTAAACCTATCTATCATGCCCTAAATTCATGTTTGTAATAGTGCTTAATTATATGACAATTTCATAATAATTATTTTTAATCAAATGTTCATCAAACAATTATCTTATTTGGATATTTAAAATTTTCTAGTTTGGCTATATTTCTGTATAATTTGTTTCAAACTATAGATGGGGAAGAATGTAAAATTAATTATTTTTTTTTATCAAAGATGTAAAAAGTACAATTTATGAAGATAAGAATAAAGTCTTTTCGTATATAAACAAAGAAAAAAATGTGAAAATTATCGTAACTAAGTATATAATAAATATAGTAAAATATTTATGTCACATAATCATGTCCTAAATAGTTTATTAATATTTCTATTTTGTAATAATAATAATAATAATAATAATAATAATAATAATATTAAACGAATAAATAATTAATTAAAAATTAATACTAAAATAATAAATTAAATTAAATTATTAATAGAAAAAAATATAGTTAATTCTATTTTTTCCACCTAATTCAAACCACTTTTTTTTTTCATTTTTTTTTATTTTCTCACCTAATTCAAACCACCTCTTTACATATTTGTTTAGTAGTAATTTTTTGTTGCTAGATTTTCACTCAATCTACCTTAACAATTTGTTAGTGTTAGCAACAAGTTTTTTTATCTTTATTCTCTATTGTGTAATCAAATTAAGTTAAATTGAAATGTCAAACAAATGCATCAAGTCACATCAATCAAATGTGGGTGTTTAAATGTTTAAGATTTCAATTTCAACGGGGGCTAACTGAAAATTTGTTTGAGATAAACGAATAAGAAAAATATTTTCTATTTTAAATAAAGCATGTAAAACTATAAATACAATTCAAAATCTTTGGAAATTCTTTTTTCAAAAATTGGAATATTTCAATTTCCAAAAAATGGAAAATCTCTTAGGAAGCTTCCTTATGAAAAAGAAAAAGATAATAATAATACTTTGATAGGTAAGAAGTAACATGTTTGAAAATTACAAAAAGAAAGAACAAAATAGAGCACGCTCCCAATAAATTTAGAGACAAACGAATCCAAGATTAAAATAAATTCAGAGTGCATAGGTTGAAAGAAGCCGAAAATCTCATAAAAAATGTAAAAAAAATAACTATAAAAAATAATAATGGAGTATTTTAATTTTATTTAGAATTAAATATATTTTAAGTCTTATAAAATTGATTTTTTAAATTTTTTTAATTGAGTTTGTTTTTATTTTTAGAAAATGTTAATTGAAAATTTTTAATTAAATTTTGTTAAATTTATTTAACGTTTTAAATGTTTTTTAATTTATGTATTTATAAAATTAATAAAATTTTAAATTTTAAAAATTTAGTTAAAGAATTAAATTCACACCATTTTAAAGTTGAAAACTAATTTT